CTCTCTCAATTTAATTATCTTATTATATAGGCGGCTGTAGTTTGTTTGATAAACTGAAAGGTGAAAGACTAATCTAGACCTAGAGAGATGGACATAAATAATTAAATTAAAAATAATGATTTCGGATCTATGATGACTTAAATTGTAGCTTCAAGAACTAATTAGTACTTTTTTATTAGTTAGGTGGAAGCCAATTAATGCTAGTTAGATACAGCCTAATACACTAAAAGATAATTAGAATATCTTAAAAATGGTTGCCACTACAAATAAAGAGAAATAAGTAACTACATTAGAATTAACCATCCTATTAGATGAATCCTGATCTCTAATGTTTGTTAATTGATTGGCTCATTGCTTTTTATCGTTGTTTTTATTTTGTATGTTTGAATCTCTTTTCAAAATTATTATTTATTTTTATAAATGACAAATTTAATTGTTTTTCTCTGGATTTGACTTCTAAAATACTCAGAGAATTATTACTACATTGATGCCCTACACTTGCAGGAGGGATCAAATAGTATGTGTAATCAAACTAAATTGAACCTTCCAAATATTACTGATATGATCTAACAGTATCATGTGGTGCCTTCGAGCCTCAAATGTATTATATAATGACAATGATTGTTTGGACTTTGGAGGTGGAAGGTAATGAGAGCATGTTAGCTGAGTGTCTTCTTTGTGCCTTTGTATTTCTTTTTATTTTGGAACGATAATCCATTTTAACTAACTAGAGGGCTTCTACCAAATTAACAAAACCAGTTTAATTATAAAAACATATAATCATCCGTAGGTCATGTTAAGTTCAGGTTTTATAACAAATTAGGGATGGTTGATAAAGTTGAGATTGGATAAAAAAAGATTTTATGAATATTTAAGGAACATAAATATTTTTATTGGTCCATCGTGCATCTCTAAAAATATGAAAATACTTATTGTATGATAAAAATGAATATATATAAAAATAAAACAAACTAAATGTAGGAATATTAACATGGGATGAAGTAGGATTTTTTTTATTAATGAATTCATATTTAGAGCCCAAAGATTAATCAAATGGCTACAATTTAAGGTAGTTAATTTTTTTTTTTTTCAATTCTATTCCTAAGCTAGTCTTTCTCTGTAAGGAAAGGGAAATATGCACACGTACACACAAAACTTTGTCAAGGTTAGTTCCAAACCCAAGACATCCAAAAAAAAGGGAGATAACGTGCTGCTATGGGACAACTTGGATTGTAGATTGCAGGTACGAATTAATAAAAGAATCCAACCAAACATTTACGGGAGACTTAATTAGACAATCTACTAAAATGTTAATTGGACCTAAATTAAACTTAATCATACAACCCATAGATATATAAAGCCCATATCTATCATCCTAATAGCCATCATAATAGTTCTGATGTAATCTATTAACTAAGGAGTAAGGGTATAGTGTTCGTACCAGCTCAACTTCTTTTTCTACATCTCAATTTTGGTTGATGATATATTTTACAATTTATTGAAAAAAATAAAAGAAAAATCACAATTAAGGACGTGGGAAATCTGATAATAACAAATAAGTACCACAAGATTAAAAGATTACTTTTAAGGACCGTGGTCTTTAAAAAAAAAGTTCAAAAAATAATTTTGACTAAAATACTCCTTGAAATATGCGTATATCACCATGGATGCTCATTCCATCAGAATGGATGCATGCGTAAATGTCTTCTCAATGGTAAATTTATCGCACTCTCCGCTCAATCTTCCTCCATTTCTGTCTTTCCTCACAGCGTCTAAGACCATGCATGATGCGTAGATAGTCACCAAGTTCATTGTCATCCAAGCTTCGTAGTCGAGGTAGAGCCATGGATGATATGGACTTCGTTTAATTTCATTGGTGTCCATGTACCATGAAGAGGATGGCAACGCCAAATAGAGTTGCTGAACTTCACCACCTCCTTCCCCAATTGACAAGTTCATCAACATCCTTCCCATTTTCATTTGTTAGGCTATTCAAGTGTGAATAAACTTAAGATGATGTGGGAAGTTCATATTATATAAAGTTAAAATTAATAATTAATATGTGTAATAAAGGGGAATGACCCATAAACTTAAGTTTTGAGATTTTGAGTTAAGATATGATGTTCTTTTGTTACTCCTATCTATCTCTCTCCTCCTCCCATTTTTGGACGGTCGCTCTCCATTTCTAACATCATTAAATTTAATTTGTGGCCTGGTGATATTCGTGCATTTCAAAGAGGGATATTTTAGTTAAAAAATTATTTTTTAAACTACAAAAAAGGATAATGGTACTCATTTGTTATTACCAACTTTCTCACGTCCTTAATTGGATTTTTCCAAAAGTAAAACTTTTACTGTATCCCAAGATCAAAATGACTTTTTTTTTTTTAACAAGGATCATAATTTTTTTTTTCGTGCAAGTGAATTCCGTTTTTGCATGTTCTTCATTCCACTACCTACCCCCAAAGCTTACTTTTCGCCAAAAAAAAAAAAATTTATCATTCGAATAGTGTATGCATGTTTATTTGTTCTAATTTTCTTCATGCTGAAGTCCCTTTAAAAAACCATTAAAAGAAAACAAGTGATGGTTTGTCTCAATAGAGATAAAGACTCATGAATAGCAAAGTTGGCCAATTTACATAGCTGACTGGATTCGACGAATCAACTAACCAATATTTAAAATTATTGTAAACTTGTACGGTCAGTCAAGGTCCAAATTAGAATTGAGGGAATGAATTATATAAAATTGTTTTTCATCAGTTGAAGAGACTTCTTAGCATTATTTTAGCTAGCCAGCCTTATATTATTGAATTTCAATATCAATAAAATTCTAGCACTAAATTATTGATTATGCTATGAAAGTATGTATAATACTAATATAAAAACTTATTTTGTGCGCATGAATGGCAACTTGCCTCAGAATATGAGATTGAGATAAGGAAGATACAAACTTTGGCAAGTGTGGCTTTCAAGTGCGTGGAGGATGACAAAGATGAAAGGCCCACCATGAGCCAAGTTGTAGAAATGCTTCAGACCCATGAAGACGAAGCTTCTCAGTCATGGCGGCTAAGAAATATATAGATCTTTATATGCCGTCTCTTTGAACTAAAGCCTGCTTAATTATTATTCTTTATTGTACTCATATTGTTTAATTTCAATATCCATATTTAATACAAATCCAGTTTAAATTATTGATTTTGCATCGTGGGCAAAAAGACTAGCTAATATGCGTATAATATGGTTTCGGTTACCGTTATCATCCGCATACTATGAAAGATGATAAAATGCTAACAAAAACTTACCCACCTATATTTTATACTTCTATACAGTAGAAATACCGCAAAATTATCTACTGACATGAGTCCTAATAGATCCTATGACTACTTAAATATGAAGTATTATATTTAAATTCGTGTAAATACCAAAAAAAAAAATTGTTAAAAGAGTTATCTTAATCTCAATTGAACTCGACAATGTTGAGGTCTCACTCAATTATATAGTCCTATTAAAAAGGTACCGCCAAATTTAACATTGTTTATTACCAATTAAATAATAACTTCCTTATTTTATATTTCAATACCGTGGGCGTGGGTGTGGATGATTCAACCCTCAATAATGCAACGGGTTTTTTGTCTCTCATTTTCGAGGACAATTTTGTGAGTAGGAATGGCAACTCGATCAAACTTGCCTCTATTAAAACATGTCACATGTGTTCCAATCAGTCAATCACGTTGGCTTAGTTTATGTCATTCAATATATGAAATTTCATGTGAAGCTTCTTTTTCAAAGCAATGTTCTTAGTTTGACTAACTTCCCTAGATTATAAAGAAAACATACAGCTTTCTACTAATTGAAAATACAAATTGAAAAGTGCAAACAAATCCCTTAATTAATTGTTATCCTTAATTATGATCAATTGTTAACTTGTTATTGTACGTCAATCAGTCCGACTTGGAAAGTAAATTAATTTAACATTATTTGACTTAATTTGAAAACAGATACATAGATACCAACTTTCATATATTTCATCTACTTGTATTTAATCAAATCAACAGATATGTATTTTTTTTTTAATCCATAATTTATCCTCCAACAAACTTTTGATAATAATATTTTAATTTTTTGATCAACAACTTTTAGTCCAATCAGTGAAGATTTGGTCTATAATTTATAAAGTTGTGGGTTCAAATTCCATGATCGATGTGAGAATTTTATTACTGAAAGATTCGTAAATACCTCTATAACCATTATTTGAACTTGGGATGCTTGGCTTTGGTGAGTAACCCAACTCACCTAAATTTTCTATACATGTATAGAATTTTATTCAAGAAAAAATAATAATAAAATTCTTCTGAAATATATAAATGATAATTTGATCCCTTAAAATACTATAATTTTTTTGAAGTCCCTAAAAAATTTTTTGTAATTAATGAATTTATATAAATTATTAAATTACCTTTATTGAAAATAAATAATTCACAAATTTTGTTTAAATATTCACAAATTTTTTTCTTATATTCACAACAATGTAATAGCAAATAAGAAATTTAACACTCAAAGTTGTGATTGGCTGTTGCACTGTTGTGAATATAAAAAAAAGTTGTGAATATTTAAACAAAATTTATGAATTTCAACAGAGGTAATTTAATAATTTATATAAATTCAACAATGACAAAAAAGTCTTTGCAAACTTTAGAGGAACTATAACATTTTGAAGAATTAAATTATCATTTATATATTTTAAAGAAATTTTATTTTCATTTTTCCTTCATTCAAAGTTAACATTCAATGAAATTTAATATTTTTGATAATATAATAATGAACTCTATGAAATTTGACCGGTGCAATATATGCATCTTCGGATATTCATTATGAAAATTTTATGCATTCACATTCACACCACGTATAAAGTAACTATAGACCGATGACTCGTGTTTTCTATATAATCCAGCCCAACTGCTGATCGTCTGATTCATATATGTCTTGAACTATACCAAGAACCTTAAAATGATTTTGTAGGCTTTTTCATCAATCTTAAACCTTCTTGTTCTTCTTTTATCTGTGTCTCAGTACACTTCATCTTTATCATCAACACTTCCCAGTGACTTCTCCCTCTCAGTGGATGAACCAGAAGATGTTCTTGTCTCACCAAATGGCACCTTCACTGCTGGCTTCTATGCCATTGGTGAAAATGTATGTCTTCGCAATCTGGTTCACTCAACTTCCTCAATCTTCCCCAAACTCGAACGTGGTTTGGGTCGGCAACCGTGACCAACCTGTCAATGGAAAACGTTCATCACTTTCCCTCCTTAGATCAGGAAACCTTATCCTCTCCGATGCCGGACAGAGGAACGTGTGGTCAAGCGACACCTCTTCATCTTGGCCGACCAGATTGACTCTCAACGACAATGGAAATCTTGTACTCTATGAGATCCGTTCACAAGAGTCAAATGTTATATGGCAGAGCTTTGATTTCCCAACAGACACTCTCCTCCCTGGCCAACAACTCATGAATGACACACAGCTTGTCGCTTCGAGAAGTGACACCAACCTTTCCTCTGGCTTCTACAAGCTCTTCTTCGACGACAACAACGTTCTTCGCCTTCTCTATCACAGGTTCGACGTCTCGAGTGTGTATTGGCCAGCGCCGTGGATGTTGAGTTTTGAAGCTGGAAGGAGCGCAAACAATAGTAGCAGAGTCGCAGTGTTAGATTCTCTTGGAAGTTTCATTTCAACAGATAACTACAGATTTACGACTTCTGATTATGAGGTATCGACGCAAAGAAAATTGAAAATCGATCCTGATGGGAACCTTCGAGTGTATAGCTTACAGCAGAATGATCAATGGTTCGTGTCGTGGCAAGCTATAGCTGATTCTTGTCATGTCCATGGAATATGTGGAGTCAATAGCATGTGCAAGTACGATCATAGCATTAATAAAAGGAAGTGCTCGTGTCTGCCAGGATATAGAGTGAAGAACCATAGCGATTGGTCTTACGGGTGTGAACCCAAGTTTGAATTCTTATGTGGTCAAAATTTCTTAAAATTGCCCAGTGTTGAGTTCTACGGAAATGACCATGTCTATAAGCTAAACATTAGTTTCAAGAACTGCAAGGATTTGTGCATACAAGACTGCGAGTGCAAAGTTTTTCAGCACACATTCGGAGAAGACATAGGTCTATTTAGGTGCTATATCAAAAGAACTCTGGTCAGTGGGATTAATTCACCAATTTTTCGAGGAACAACCTACTTAAGACTGCCTAAATCCAGTACACCTTCGTTCCTTGAAGAAGAAGAATCTTCCCTTGATAGTGGTGACGTTTGTTTCGTGAAGCTTGAAAGAGCCTCAGAGCACGACAACAGTTTTGTCAAGTTTCTTCTTTGGTTTTCCATCGCTGTTGGGGTGCTTGAAGTCCTCTGTATATGTCTAATTTGGTGTTCTTTGATTAGACCCACAAAGGACTCTGATGCAAATCAACAAGTCTACAATTTTCTGTCTCCTTTTCGGTTCAGAAAATTTACTTACCCTGAGCTAAAACAAGCAACCAAAGGGTTCAGAGAAGAAATTGGAAGAGGAGCAGGTGGAATAGTGTACAAAGGAGTACTGTCAGATCAACGAGTCGCTGCAATAAAGAAGCTGACTGGTAATAATGTTGGAGGCAAGCAAGAAGAAGGAGAATTTATGGCTGAAGTAAGCATAATCGGTAGGCTCAACCATATGAACTTGATTGAAATGTGGGGGTATTGTGCTGAGGGAAAGCACAGGCTATTGGTGTACGAGTACATGGAAAATGGTTCTTTAGCAGATAATCTCAAATCAAACACCCTGGATTGGACCAAAAGGTACAACATTGCTCTGGGAACAGCAAGAGTACTAGCATACCTACACGAAGAATGCTTGGAGTGGATTCTGCATTGTGACATAAAGCCTCAGAATATCCTTCTGGATTCAAATTACCAGCCCAAGGTAGCAGATTTCGGCTTATCTAAGCTCAGAAATCGGAATGACCAAAACAGTCAGAGCTTCTCAATGATAAGAGGAACGCGGGGATATATGGCGCCAGAGTGGGTTTTCAATCTGCCAATAACATCGAAGGTGGATGTGTATAGTTATGGGATCGTTGTATTGGAGATGATGACAGGAAGGAGTTCCATGACGATGGAAGTTCATAGTGATGATGGAGAAGAGACTCAGAATGTGAGGCTTGTGACGTGGGTGAGAGAGAAGAAGAAGAAGACGACGTCAGAGGAAGGGTCGTCTTCACTGTGTTGGGTGGAGCAAATAATTGATCCAGCAATTGGATCAGAGTACGAGGCTGAGAAGAGGAAGATGGAAACTTTGGCAAGTGTAGCTTTGAAGTGCGTCATGGAAGACAAAGAGGCAAGGCCCACAATGAGCCAAGTTGTAGAAATGCTTCAGAGCCATGAAGACAATGCTTCTTAGTCATGGCAGCTTAGTAGAATCTTTACGTACCGTCTCTTTGACGATGTTGTCTATCTTCGTCATTAGTTCTCTTTGGGGATAAAAGGACATGATTTACTTCGCAGAAACATTTGTGGGCAATCATGCGAAATCCAATTTATTGATAAAGTGACTTTCTTAAAGTAGGGGTAACGAATTTGTCCAAATGTATATCTCTGAACTATGTATTGCTGTATTAGTTGAGTAGTGTGTTAAAATGACAAGTCTCATTCTGTTCGAATAAGGATTTGGATTTGAAAAATGACAATGTATCCGACTTATTTATCACTTATCATATGTTTAGTGCTGTGTATGACATCTTTCCCAAGTAATTACATCATCAACGTCAACTCATGAGATCACTCCTAAGTCCTGATCCCACAAAGGTAAAAAGCTTAATTTAATTAATTCCCAAGCTATGGCCACAAATCATAAAAATATAACCATTCTGCCTTAAATTATAATTTTAAAAAAAATTTAACTTTTTAAAATATAAGATATATTGATAAAAATAAATTTTTATTAATTATATTTTTTTAATATTATTTTTTTCATATATTCTTCTTTTTCAATATACTTTTATCGAAGTATTAAATAAATGATATTTTTAAAAGTTTATATTTTTATATTAAAAAAATAAGGTTATAAAATTATATTTAATGAACTATATTGATATGTGAAATTTTATCTAAAAGCCTCACTCAGAGTCAATCGGCTCTCCCTCCTACATCTTCTTGCCCTATCACCCCTCACATCTATTGCATTTAAAGTCGTAAAAGAGCTTGAATGGTTGGGTTTAGAGGTCATATTTAAATAAGGATTTGAGCTTGAAAAATTGATTATTTTTTGGGAAATGGGACTTCTAGGTCTAGCCCTAATGAACCTTGAAAAAAAAGGTTCAAGCTTGGACGGACTTTCAAGCCCTGTTCCCTAAAAAATCGATAATTTTTCAAGTATTATGTAGTTAAAATATTTGATGTTAGTTCTTTTGTCATTTATTTCAACACAATATTAACAAATTTTTTATTAATTTTTTAAACACAATTACTTTGTAATGTCTATTTCTTGATTTTGATTAATGCTATACTTTATGATACATAAGTTTTTGTATTTTTTAGATTTGATAAGATTGATCTAAATTAAAAAATTTGATCTTTTTTTTAAAACTTGATTAAGATTCTATATCTTTATTTATATTTATTTATTTTATTAAATTTTTTATTTATTTTATTTTTTTAAAAAATAGGCTTATGAACTTGGACATCAGCCTTTTAAATAAGTGTCAAGCCTTAAAAAATAATTATTTTTTTGGAAAACGAACTCAAGACTTGAGTCCTTAAAATAGGGTTCATAAAGGTCACACTTTTAAAATTCGTGCCCGCCTATCTTCTCATCTCTATACAAAGGAGCTTCAAGAATACAAATACCAATGGCTAATAAAAGGGTTTAGAAACAAAGAGGAGTTTGCGCGCATGTGACACACCAACACAAAGTAATCATAATTAAAAACAGTTGATTTGCCCCTCAATATAGGCTTGCATGTAGACAGGACAAACAGGCCAGCCTTTGAGCTTTTGGGCAATCCTCTTGTGCACTGTTGTGTTCCTGAGTTAATTTTCTGCTTACCTTATTACCTTATTTTGTTTGTTCGATAATCCTGGGAAACACGACTCAGACTTGAGATTGCAACCTACTGCCAATATACAAAACCGGATACAGGGAAATTTTTAGGTAGACACGATGTATCATGTAATATCTGCTCTTTCCAATAAGAATGTAGCAGCTCATATGATTATAATCCCATGTGGCATGTTTTAATTTATATTATTAAAAAAAGTATCCGGCCATCTTAGCTGTCCCCTTTAATCCTTCATTCATTGGCTATGGCGTCCTCCATCGATCACTTCCCATTCTTTTGGCTTTTGCCGAGCAGTCTGGCCTCAATCCCAATGAAGTCACAGAATCGTGGGGGACACTCATTTAATTTCGAAATTCATAAAGTTGTCTCCTATTTTCTGTGCTGCCCGAAATATTATGGAATCAAAGAATGGGTAAGCTTGTTAATCGAAACTCTGACAGGCCACCGTGCTATCATAGTTTCAAACAAACTGAAGGGATCGAAAAAGAAGGGGTAAAGCGGAGCCACGGCAGAGTAAAAATCATCTAACCTTATTTGAATCAATCCAATTCGAGATAATTCAATTTTATTTAATCTATATAAACACTGATCTTTTAAGAATAAAAAAACTAAAAATATTAGATTATTTTTTCGAGTTAAACTAAACAGAAGACTGAACATCTAAATCACTTGATACAATCTGATCTCATTAATTTATTTAATATAATTATAATTAATTCATTTTTAATAAATGCTTTAAGTATAGTTAATGTTAAGGAGATGATTATATAAATATTTGTTGAGTTTATTTTTAAATTGTTATTTTAATTGAGTTTATTAAGTTGAAATAAATTATTATCTCTCATAGGAAAAAAAAAACTAAATAAATATTGAATTCTTAACCCAATCCTTTTCATAAAAAAAATTAGATTTTGAGTTAGGTTAAAATTCAGTATCGTCCTGTCTTTTATACAGTCTTCAACAGAGCAATGCAATTTTTTTTTTCCCTAAACACTTCTCAACTATGGGGGATGGGTTTGGATCTGCGGATTCTGCGCCGGATTATTGCTCGGATTCAGCCATAGGTGCTTTTTTAATAATATAAATATAAATTAAAGCATGCCACGTAGGATTGTTATGATCTGAGTTGTTACTTTTTCAAAAGGCGGGATAAATACGACATGGTACCTAAGAATTTCTCATATAATAGTGTGTGTGTGTGTGTGTGTGTGTGTGTGTGTGTGTGTGTGTGTGTGTGTGAGTAAAAATCAGAGCCACGGCTGAGTAAAAATCATCTAACCTTATCTTAATCAATCCAATTCGAGATGATCCAATTTTATTTGATCTATATAAACACTGATCTTTCAAAAATAAAAAGATTAAAAATATTAAATTATTTCTTTGAGTTGGACTGAAAAGGAGACTGAACATTTAAATCACTTGATCCAATCTAATCTCATTAATTTATTTAATATGATTATAATTAATTCATTTTTAATAAATGCTTTAAGTGTAGTTGATACTAAAGAGATGATTGTATAAAGATTTGTTGAGTTTATTTTTAAATTGTTATAATGTAGTGTTGTTGAAATTTGTTGAGTATTATTTTTATTGAAATTATAAATTTAAATCATTTAATCATAATAGAAATATTTTTTTGTTAGAAATTATTATGAATTTATTATTACTATACGTATTTTTATTATTTTAATTGAGTTTATTAAGTTGAAATGAATTATTACCTCTCATAGGAAAAAAAAGCTAAATAAATACTAAATTAATAGGACCAGTCTCCCAATTCTATAAATCAAATTTTATCCTTTTAATTTTCAAGTTATCACTGGACAAGATCAGACTATGAATTATTTAACCCAATCTTTTTTATAAAAAAAATTAGATTTTGAGTTAGATTGAAATCCAGCATCGTTCTATCCTTTATACGGTCTTCAACAGAGCAATGCAATTTTTTTTTCCCTAAACACTTCTCAACTATGGGGGATGGGTTTGGATCTGCGGATTCTGCGCCGGATTATTGCTCGGATTCGGCCATAGGGGCTTTTTTAATAATATAAATATAAATTAAAGCATGCCACGTAGGATCGTTATGATCTGAGTTGTTACTTTTTCAAAAGGCCGGATAAATATGACATGGTACCTAAGAATTTCTCATATAATAGTGTGTGTGTGTGTGTATGTATCACCTCAATGGCAGTGATGTGATGTCCAGAGATTTAAATATAAATCATCCCAATTTCTACGGTAATGTTTTAGGGACAGGTTACCGAACGGTTAAAAGGACTAGTTTAGAATTTAATGGTTTGATCATATGTGTGTGTGTGTGTGTGTGTGTGTACCACCTCAATGGCAGTGATGTGATGTCCAGAGATTTAAATATAAATCATCCCAATTTCTACGGTAATGTTTTAGGGACAGGTTACCGAACGGTTAAAAGGACTAGTTTAGAATTTAATGGTTTGATGATGGTTAAATTGAATTTATGTTAATCATTTATATTGAAAAATAAAGAAACATTTTAGATTAATTAGTTTTAATAATAATTCATGTATCATTTTATTCGGTAAAACTTTAATAATAAAATAATGATACTTAGCATTTACTATTTCTCTATTTCTCTATTTGAAATTTTTTAAGCTAACCCTCAGTCCTATTACCTTTTCACCTGTTACCCGTGTAGCTTGTTTTTCTCCTAACTAGATTTGTCCAATTCACAAAAATTGAAATTTCATCGGTCCAACACCTTGTTTAGAGTGCACCTAAGCCTTCTTTTGTTGTACTGGCTTTTGCCTTATACTATATTTCTTGGTTCGATTTGATTGGATAAATATTCTTTTTTTTCAAGGAAAAATATATTACTTTTCTTAAAAAATTTATTATAAATAATTCTTAGTTAATATTAATTATTAATCTAGATTGATTCGTGAACCAACATAAGATTACGGCCTTTAAGTAAAGGATTTTATTATTTAAAAAATACAACTTCATTATCTATAAATATCCTTTATAATCATTCCTTTCTAATAATATCAACTACTAAAATTCATTGTCTTGGTTTTAAGTACAACCATAGATAATGTTAGAGTCACCTTATAAAAACTATTGTTATTTTAGTGTCACATCTTAAAATATGAGGATGATCGGCATGAAATGTGTACTTAAACACCCATCTCTTAAAGCCTCGATTAAGGAAAGTTTTAAATTAATACATTTGACTTACTATCTGCCTAATTGTATGCATCAAATTTTACTTTTCAAATAATCAAAATATAAGTAAGATTTCCCTAAAACCTTTACAACAAAAATTTTACAATTTATAACCAGCAATATAGAGCTCTACTTCTCAACAACAGATAGATAATATAATAAAGAGAATCAGGACCCTAACTATAATTTATGTGGAGTAACTAATCATATTTTTCATGACATAATTCATAGATGCATATTTATATCAGTTGGAAATATTTACAGAGCAAATCTCCACTAAACTCAACAGAAATTCCCTCATTGGAAAGAAGGACGTATAATATTAACTACATTATCTGAAACCAAAATAACTTTTTTAGTAAATAATGTCTCAACCATAATATTTTGTAAAATCACAATGAATAAAATACAATAATTATATAAAATACATGAGAAAGCAATTCAATGTAAGTAAATT